CGAAATCTTTACTCCATCGTGGGTAACAGCACGGATGTATAAGCAAGCCCCATAAGCATAACTGGACGCATCTGCAAAACCATGAACCTCGTAGTAAATTGCATCGGAAGCACCAAAATATCTTGGTATTTTGATTTGGTGCATGTAATTCAAATTGTCACGAAACGTGGCCCAAGTTTGGAGCCATTTACCATCCAAAAGGTCATCCCAGTTGAGTTTGCTGATCCAAATTTGCTGCATCAACACCTTTGCAATTACGACAACAGGCGAAACAAGACCAAGTGGATCAAATATTTTCGCGATCTGAGAGAGAACGTTACGTTTGGTTGGTGGTGAATTGGCAAGATTAGGAAGTTCGAAATGGAAACGGTAGACGTCTTCTGATGGATCCCAAAGGAGTCCAAGGGTTTTGATAGCTTGGTTGATATCTGCATCTTCGAACATTAAAAACTTCTCTCTGTCTTTCTCTGGGACCGATTCCAAAATAGCCGGGTGATTCGAACACCACTTATGTATGGGAAATCCGCCACGACTAAGTAGTTCTGTAAGCTCGACGCGACATTGAATAGCCTTTTCTATGGTTTCAGCCCCTGACAAGACATCGTCAACATAAAAATCTTCTACAACAATTCTTGCAGCGATAGGAAAATAATCACCTTCATCGACAGCGAGCTGCTGAAGAGCCCTTGTGGCTAAGAACGGTGCCGAGGAAGTACCGTACGTCACAGTCGTAAGTTCCAAAACCTGCAATGGATCGTTGGGATTTTCCCTCCAGAATATACGAAGCAACGGCGTATGGATCCTGTCAACTCCTATCTGTCGATACATTTTGCTGACATCAGCGGAAAAGGCATATGGATGCTTACGGAAACGCAGATTAATCGAAAAGATATCGTCCTGAATCACCGGTCCGATCATCAAAGAATCATTCAGAGAGGGTCCATTACTCTTCGATGAAGCATCAAACACCACTCTTAACTTCGTCGACGAGCTCGTAGGTTTCAACACCGCATGGTGAGGAAGATAATGTTTGAGAAGATTTGGAGGATCTTGAGACTCATCGACCTGAACACAATGATTAAGATTTTTATACTCATTAATAAAATCCACATACTGCCTTTTCAGCTCAGGATTTTTCTGGAACCGTTGTTCCAACATGTAAAATCGACGAAGAGCAATCGTGCGGTTATTTTCCATCTGATGGACAGAATATTTCAGGGGCAGTTGAACAATATATCGACCATCCTGGTTTCGGCGGGTGGTGGAGCAGAAAATTGCTTCGCACCGCTGTTCCTCACTAGTAAGAGGATTACAAGAATCTACAGATTCAACTGACCAAAATTTCTCCATGGATTCAGCAAGACTTTGTAGGCCAACAGTGTAACAATGTTGTTCGACTCGTGAAGAACCAACATCTTCGATGGAACCAGCAACAACCCATCCCAAACGGGTTTCTTGAAGGATTGGGAGATCATGACCAATCTTGTACTGCCCCGGCATCAACAGTTTAAAAAACAGTTGAATTCCTATAAGCAAGTCGATTTCTCCCGGTGTATGGAAATCTGGATCTGCCAGTGGGATACCAGGAGAGAGTTTCCAATGATTGATATTGATAGGTATGGATGGCATTAAACCTGCAACCTTGTCTGTAATTAGACACTGCAGTTGTCCACGAAAATCCGAATAACACGAACGAATTTCAAGGTTAACCATCTCGGAGATGGAAGATCGTTGACCATTTGCTCCGACAACCTCAACGTTAGTAGAGAAGCGGGGCAAATTCAACGACTCAATCAGACTATTTGAGACTAGATGTGCTTGTGAACCGCAATCCAAAAATGCTCGGCAAGGAATTAGCCTTCCATTCACATCCATCACCTGAATCTTAGCTGTCATCAGTAAACTGTTACACAAACGCGGGGATTGTTTCAACGAACAAGACACTGCATTGGTGGATTGCGATTCTTCAGAGACAGACTGGGAATTCAATTTTGGAACGGCTCCCTTCGAGGCGAACGACGACTCAGACTGGGAAGCGGACGATGAAGTGGGTTTCAAAGTGGACTGAGACACATGTTTATCAGGGTGAAGAAGAGTATGATGTCTACCCTGACATTTGGCACAAGTATGTGGAGAAGGGCATGCACTACATAGATGGCCTACCCTTAGGCAATTGAAACAAGCTTTGATATCTCTTACCTTGGCTTGGCGCTGAGCGATGTCCAACGAACGGAAAGTCTCACACCGGAAGCTCGGATGAGCACCGGTTCCACATAGTTCACAGGTTTGCTCCCTTTTCGTTAAAGCGAAGGTCTTGGCTGACGTATTCTTCGACGTGTTCACAGGATTCTTGGCGGGCGGCGACGACTTTGAGTTGATAACTGGCTTGACCAATGATGATTCCCAACGTTCCAAAACAGCGCAGCGCTTCTGCAGGAAATCTACAGTTTCCTTGTACTTCGGCAATTCCTTATGTGGGATGGAAGATTCCCACTGCAGCCTCGTGTCCTTATCCAAAGCACCAGCTATCAAGTTGACAACGATCCGTTCTGAAACTCCCAGCATCTCTTCTTTCATCAGGCTAAGTCCATCGACGTGTCGGGTGACGTCGTCAATAAGTTCCCTCAGGTCCTTGGCGTTTTCACGGTTTAATGTGTTCAAGTTCAGAAGGCCGTTGACATGAATGTCAACAATCACTCGTTTATTCTCGAAGCGTTCTTCGAGCACTTTCCACGCATGAACGTAATTATTTTCACTCAGCGTTCGGGAATCAATGATTCCAGCAGCTGCACCGACCAATGCTCTGTCGAGATGATATAGCTTTATCGCATCCGAGTCGGCAGACGTCCGCATGACATCAAGAAACATGGCCTTGAAGCGTGGCCAGTTCTCAGGTTTACCGTCGAAGGTTGGAATAGGTGCCTTCAACGGTTGCTGCTGCACAATAATGCGAGGGGTTTGGTCTGAACGTTGAATCGAAAGTGGAATTTGAGATGCATCTTCGGTGACGGCCAAAGACTGCATAAGAGTTTCCAGCAACACGCAGGCGTCGGTGTGCTGGATTTCGAATGCTTCATATATTCGATCTTGTTCCTCCATGCCTTCGTCAGAGCACAGCACCATGATTTGATGGTGAAAATCACGATACTCGTTGAAGTAGAGGTCCAACTTTCGGGAGTATACCGCCAGCATCGCCATGTTGGGTATGACGGCACCAGCTCCTGATGCTTCCTCCACAGCTTTGCGTATCCGGGTGACTTGCGCCTTTGCTTGGCCACGCAAAGAAACCAATGTTTTCATATCTGCTATGTCGGGTTTAGGTTTCTTCCTAGCTGGTGAAGGATCGACAGGCATTGTTACACTCGCGCACGATATACTCCGAGGGAAAAAATCGGACTTCACTCACAAGTTAATTGATTATTCTAGGTACACTCGCGCGCGACTTACGTACGGTAGAAAATAATCGGACTGTAACTTAACATTCACAATTCACCTCAGCAAGCCACAGAAAATCCAGTCGATTTTCGTAACGGTATCAGCAGGCTCAGGAACAGCTGTGCGACCCCTCGCACAGCAGGGAACAGGAATGAACGTGTTCGGACACGTGCAGAAACCAGAAGCGACGCACCGGATTTTAGTTTTTCAATTTAGAATACTCGGCGACGTGACTTCACTCGCATTACGTTTCACTCGCGAATACTTCGGGAAAAAAACTTCTCTTCTCCAACAAGCCTCGAAAATTCTAAATTCAACTCGGTCGGCTATCTTGTCGCTATCAACTGGAACGGCAGTGCGACTCTCGCAAAGCAAATACTGGAGCAAACGTGTTTGGACACGTTCGAAAAGACGCGCAAACGGTGCGGGAGTAGATGTTCGCAATCGGTTGATCTACGACACATCTGTTGTTGCGGCTGCAACACTGGAGGGTGGATCTCTCAGATCCGGTTCGAAGGACCATAAAATGTCCGCTCACGGACACTTGGAACAGTGTGGCGATCCTTGGCTGGAAGGATCCCAGCAGATTGGCCAACTTCTCCGTCAGGAAAAATGCCACGACAGGAACGATAGCGACAGCGATAGCGAAAGCGAAAATCCAACTCTTTTTGAGCCTTGACAAAGGCTATTTGATTCGGCTTGTGAGAGAGAGAACAATCTAAAAGGACGACAATTTTTATTCTTTGTTGTTTCCAATACAGTTGTTTTAATACTAATCCTCTCCGCGCGAGAGGCGACTGGTTAAATACTCTATTCTTCTTCTTTTTCTTTATTCAATTTGTGCTGCCATGTTTTTCCCTCTGTGTCGGGAACCAATCAGCACGTCGCTTGTTCGATGATCATTCGTTCGATGCTGTTGGTGTTTCCTTGCTCAAGCCAAGCCAGAGGCATCACCAGGAATATATCAAAGCTTGTTTATAGTAGGGTTTGGGGTTAAAATGACACAAATGATGTTAGTTTGTGGAAGACCGATTTTCCCGCGGTCGGCTCGGGGTTAGTAGGATGTCATATGGATTAGGAAAGCGGTTAGGATGATTAACAAAATAATAACACAACTACTAACAGAACAATAAATCATTACATTCGCTCTGAGTGCGAACAGTATCGTTATTCCTACATCATTAAAATGACTATGCTCCACGCTTAGAACAACGCCCGTTGAATGTTGAAACGACGCGACTTCGTAGAATCGACTTATGTTGTGTTAAACAACATGCATCAGCACGTCTTATCGCGGAAAAATTAAACACATGAATCCCACTCCCCCTGGTTACGAAACGTAAAAGCGATTCTGCGTCATCATCAAAAAGCACTATGGCCGTTAACACTTTCGCCGCCTAGTCTGTGACTAGTTCATTGTTTACCATGGAGCAGTTGAGTTCGGAATTTCTTGGCTTGACTGGGTTAACCTTACAACGTTTTAAATTTGCCCGTAAATCCCTAAGTCCATTATCAAAACTGAAGACCACTCAAATTCACGTTTGCTTCCTTCCCCCCCCCAACAGGTGACGGCAACTGCCTGCTGCATGCGGCTTCCCTCGGCATGTGGGGTTTCCACGATCGTCGGCTAACGCTGCGCCGGACGTTACACGACATTCTCTCGAAGGAGGAATTCCGGGACGCTCTCTACCGGCGGTGGCGCTTCCAGCAGACCCGTGTCAACAAGCAGGCCGGTTTCGTGTTCTGTGAAACCGAGTGGGCCAAGGAGTGGGAGGAGATTGTTGCGATTGCTTCGCCGGAACCACGGCGAAACTCGAAGAGTGTTTCTCGAAGGCGATCACTGCTGATGGAGAAGAGCTTCGACGGGGGATCGTCGACGGGCGCTGACGATGAGATTGCTACCTATGAGAGCTTGGAGGAGATCCATGTGCTGGCGTTGGCACATATTTTGAGACGGACGATCATCGTCGTGTCGGATGTGTTCCTGCGGGATATGAACGGGGAAGCGTTCAGTCCGATTCCGTTCGGTGGAGTTTATTTGCCGTTTGAAGTGCCGTCGAATGAGTGCCATAGAGCGCCGCTACTGTTGGCCTACGATATGGCACACTTTTCAGCGCTGGTAGCGATGGAGACGGCGGGAGATTTTCCGCCGGCATTGATTCCTCTGGTGGATGCCAGTAATCAGCTGTTGCCGATTCAATTTTGCATCGATCCGGGAGTAGATTTCGACTGGAGGGAGTACGATGGAAGTGACGGGAATTGGGTGCTGACGGATCGAGAGCACGTTGCACTGCTGAAGGAGTATCTGGATATTGTGTACGCACCGGCGGCAGACAGTCCAGATGATGAGATATATGACGACTACTCGGACGAGGAGTACGAAAAAAAGATTGCCGATGGGGAAATTGTGTTTTCGGACGAGAACCATAATAACGGAACGAACAATCCCAATCTGGCAGCGATGACGGCGTCGAATCAGTCACTACCGCCATTTCCGCCGAGTTCGAGTGGGACATCCAGTGGAAAAAGTAAGGCAGCAAAACAGCTGCAAAGCGTAGCGAAGCAGTTTGGAAGCATCGGAAAAAGTATGAGCAAGAAGCTGAAGAAGAATATCGGGTCCATCACGAGGATCGGTAGCAAAAGTGGGCAGCACAAGAAGTCAAGCATTTCGTCGGATAAGTCTGCCCGGGGGGATTGTCCCAAGTTTCGAATTCTGTGCGCCACGCTGAAAGCCAGACGACACGAGTATCAGGAGGAGATGATCAAAAACTATCTGGAATGTGCTCAGGAGCGGTTTCTGGAAATTGAGAGAGTACGGGAGCGGAAAGAGCTGGACAAGTTCAGTAAATTCGTGGACGCAGGTCAAGACACGTGTGATTACGGCAGTACGGACAACGGAACGGACTTGATGAATTGCATCAATGCCGGTTGTCTGAACTATGGAACCGTTGCCACCAGTTACATGTGCTTGGAGTGCTACGAAACCCAGCGGAAGCGCGAATCTCAATCCTGCAACCCGAACGACTTTATGCCACGTTATGGAACGGGTAAGTCTAAGTTCTACACCCAAGCTGACATGGAAAGTCACGACCGCATCCAGCGGTTACCCTCCGTACGGCGACTGAATGAGCTCGATCAAACCCTGTACCTATCCCGGTCGACGTTCTACAATGACAAACGAGTAATCGGCAGCAGTGCTGCGATACCTTCTTCCAACTATCGACACGGATTCAGCCCCACGGAACGCTCGACGACGGTACCTAGCAAAGCCGCCACCTCCAACAGCAGCAGTCACTCGCCCGACTATTCCAACTGTGCCAAACAGGCGTCGGCCGTGTCGGGTGGAATCGTCGCGACGGTTTACTCGCCCGGCAGTACGATCCTAAACCGAACGTCGTCGTCGGGAATGTGCGTGTCGCTTCCGCCGCCGGTGGCCAGTCCGGTTCCGCAGCACCCGTCATCTTCGACGCCGTCATCGTCCGGGATGTCATCGTCGTCGTCGTCTGGTTCCAATGCGTCGGATTCAGCGCTCCGACAGCAGCAGCAGCAGCAATCTTCCGGAGTGATAACCAGTAGTCATTATGGGAAAAATCAAATGTGCCGAACCGAGGGGTGCAAGTTCTACGGTAGCATCAATACCAATTTCTACTGTTCCAAGTGCTGCCAGGAGTACAACATCTAAGGGGGGACGACGGACACGACGACGAGCTCGGTGAACCGTGTGTAAATATAGTCTGTGAAAACACATGAGGTAAGAGAGTTGTTATTCTTCTATACATTTATACACGAAATGCAAACAAACAAACAAACAAACAGAAAGTCACGCATATTGCTGAAATTATATTATCATACCATACCGCATATATGCAAAAAGGACGAATATTTTCGTTTTCAAATCACTATCGATTAACACTGCTGATGATTTCACTGTTGAGCTCTACTGTAGACCGAAATGGAGATAGAGGAATGTTAATAGTAGTAGGAAGTTGTTGAGGTCTGATGTTTGGCATGGTTCACATTTCACATATTTCATTTTCCGGATAATTTTCTCCAGCAGAAGAACAATAAAAACACAACACATATAGACGACGTGTGAATCATGCCCGATCGATCAGCTGCTGTTCAGTAGGATGAGGAAAGATTTAAAAACTGGTTGACTATATTGTGTGATACTATGGTATATCCCTGTGAGACGATAGAGGCTGAATCGTTACGCGTGTTAAGCAGCGAATGTTAGTAAATGCTGACTGTTTAAAGGCAGTTTAGAATGTTTCTGTTGAATTTCACAATGTTACAGCTTTATTTATCTGGATACGAGTGGCAACGTGGAGCACAGATCGATTGAACGGGGTTTATTAGTGTTTTCTTCTTCCATTTTTGTGTTTTATTTTTTAGGGCCATGCATTAATTATGTCAAGCCAAATTGAGGAAAAATTTACCCAATCTCCTCCCTTTTGTCGCGTTTTTCCTATACCTAATGCATTGCTTTTCACAAAATCTAACAGGCCTCTTTGGAGCGTAACATAAGGTATGCATCACTGCTTTATGTTTTAGTTAAATTTTTCATGATATAAAATTTATTAAAGATGTGAAGTGAATTTGTTGGACTCCATTATATCCACAGACATAATTGTTTAGCTTCTACTTGTCGAGACCATTCCGAAAACTGCCACTGCAAACCAGAAGTCGCCATTTTGGAATCACGACTACCATCTTGGATGTCTAATTAGCACCGGACATCGAATTTTGGTTTCTATTCATCGAGACCGTTCCGTAAATACCCATACTGTAGGGTTTTGGAAGCATTTCCGTCCCGTAGATACCCATTTGTAGGATTTGCGAGGTATTTTCTAACATCGGAAGTCGCCATCATGGATTCATGTTTACCATTTCAGATTCCAGAATAGCATCAGACAATGAATGTTGGTTTCTACTCTTTCGCAAACAAGAAGTCGCTATTTAGGATTTACGTATGTTCCGAATTTTGGTTTCTATTTGTCGAGGCCGTTTCGTAGATACCCATATTGTAGGTCCACCATTTTGGATTCCAAAATTGTACCGGACATCGAATTTCGGCTTCTACTCGTTGAGCCTCTTCGGCAGATACCCATATTTTAGGGTTTCCGAGGCTTTTTAGCTCCTACTCGTTAAGACCGGTATTTTCGCAAAGCAGAAGTCGCCATTTTGGATTCCCGTCTGCGATCTTGCATGCCGAAATAGCAACGGACATCGAATTTTGGTTTCTATTCGTTCACTATTTTGGATTCCAAAATTGCACCAGATTTTGGTTTCTACTCATTGAGCCGGTAGATAACCATATTGTAAGGGTCTCGAGGCATTTTCGCAAACCGAAGTTACCATCTTGGATTCAGGTTTGCCATTTTGGATGCCAACGTTGCACCGGACATCGATTTTTAGGTTCCACTCGTTGAGACCGTTCCGCAAACTCCCACAGGTGCATTTTCGTAAACCAGAAGTCCCCATTTTGGATTCACGTTTGCTTTCTTGAATATCTAAGTATCACAGGACATCTAATTTTGGTTTCATCTTTTCACGCATCGGAAGTCGCCATCATTGATTAAAAAATTGCACCAGACAATCAATGTTAGTTTCTACTCTTTCGCAAACAAGGTGTCACCATTTTGGATTCGCGTCTGCCATCTTGGATTCCCAATTAGCACAGGACATCGAATTTTGGTTTCTATTCGTCGAGACCGTTCCGTAGATTGTAGGTCCACCATTTTGTTTGCCAAAATGGCGCCGGACATCGAATATTGGTTTCTACTCGTTGAGCCCGTTTATTGTTTATTGTTCCTATACACCAACAGGCTGGTTGTAGCCCCATAGCTACCCATATTGTAAGGTTCTCGAGGCATTTTCGTAAACCGGAAGTTGCCATCTTGGAGATTCAGGTCCGCCATTTTGGATGCCAAAATTGCATCGGACATCGATATTTAGCTTCTACTCGTCGAGACCGTGCCGCAAACTCCCACTGGGGAATTTTCGCAAATTTGGATTCTGCCATATTGAATGCCTAATTAGCACCGGACATCAAATTTTGGTTTCTATTCATCGAGACCGTTCCGTAGCTACCCATATTGTAGGGTTTGCGAAGCATTCCCATTCCGTAGATACCCATTTGTAGGATTTGCGAGGTATTTTTACGCATCGGAAGTCGCCATCATGGATTATCGGTCACCATTTTGGATTCTAAAATTGCACCGAACATCGATTATCAGTTTCTACTCATTTGAAGGATTTTCGAAGCATTTGGATTCAGGTTTGCCATTTTGGATACCGTTCCGTAGATACCCATTTGGTGCAATTTCGAGGCATTTTTGCCATCTTGGATTCAGTTTTGCCATTTTAGATGCCAAAATTTCACCGGACATGGATTTTTGGCTTCTACTCGTTGAGCCCATTCCGTAGATATTCATCATATTGTAGGGTTTCCGAGACATTTTCGCAAACCAGAAGTCGCCATCTTGGATTCAGGTTCGCCATATTTGATACCAAAAGTGAACAGGATGTTGATTTTAGGCTTCTACTCGTCGAGCCCATTTTGTAGATATCCATATTGTAGGGTTTTCGAGGCATTTTCGTTAACCAGAAGTCGCCATCTTGGATTCATGTTCGCCATATTGGATACCAAAAGTGAACCGCAGGTAGATTTTTGGGTTCTACTCGTCGAGCCTATTTCGTAGATATCCATATAGTAGGGTTTCCGAGACATTTTCGCTAACCAGAAGTCGCCATCTTGGATTCAGGTTCGCCATATTGGATGCTAAAAGTGAACCGGATGTAGATTTTTGGGTTCTACTCGTCGAGCCTATTTCGTAGATATCCATATTGTAGGGTTTCCGAGACATTTTCGTTAACCAGAAGTCGCCATCTTGGATTCAGGTTTGCCATATTGGATACCAAAAGTGAACCGGATGTAGATTTTTGGCTTCCTCTCGTCGAGCCCATTCCGTAGATTTCCATGTTGTAGGGTTTAGTGACATTTTCGTTAACCAGAAGTCGCCATCTTGGATCCAGGTTCACCATATTGGATACAAAAAGTGAACCGGATGTAGATTTTTGGCTTCTTCTCGTCGAGCCCATTCTTTAGATATCTATATTGTAGGGTTTTCGAGGCATTTTCGCTAACCAGAAGTCGTCATCTTGGTTTCAGGTTCACCATTTTGGATGCCAAAAGTTAACCGTATGTAGTTTTTTGGCTTCTACTCGTCGATTCCATTCCGTAGATATCCATATTGTAGGGTTTCCGAGACGTTTTTGCTAACCAGAAGTCGCCATCTTGGATTCAGGTTCGCCATATTGGATACCAAAAGTGAACCGAATGTAGATTTTTGGCTTCTACTCGTCGAGCCCATTCCGTAGATATCCATATTGTAGGGTTTTCGAGACATTTTCGCTAACCAGAAGTCGCCATCTTGGATTCAGGTTCGCCATATTGGATACCAAAAGTGAACCGGATGTAGATTTTTGGCTTCTACTCGTCGAGCCTATTTCGTAGATATCCATATTGTAGGGTTTTCGAGACATTTTCGCTAACCAGAAGTCGCCATCTTGGATTCAGGTTCGCCATATTGGATACCAAAAGTGAACTGGATATAGATTTTTGGGTTCTACTCGTCGAGTCCATTTCGTAGATATCCATATTGTAGGGTTTCCGAGACATTTTCGTTAACCAGAAGTCGCCATCTTGGATTCAGGTTCGCCATATTGGATGCCAAAAGTGAACCGGATGTAAATTTTTGGATTCTACTCGTCGAGCCTATTTCGTAGATATCCATATTGTAGGGTTTCCGAGACATTTTCGTTAACCAGAAGTCGCCATCTTGGATTCAGGTTCGCCATATTGGATACCAAAAGTGAACCGGATGTAGATTTTTGGCTTCTACTCGTCGAGCCTATTTCGTAGATATCCATATTGTAGGGTTTTCGAGACATTTTCGCTAACCAGAAGTCGCCATCTTGGATTCAGGTTCGCCATATTGGATGCCAAAAGTGAACCGGATGTAAATTTTTGGATTCTACTCGTCGAGCCTATTTCGTAGATATCCATATTGTAGGGTTTCCGAGACATTTTCGTTAACCAGAAGTCGCTATCTTGGATCCAGGTTCACCATATTGGATGCCAAAAGTGAACCGCATGTAGTTTTTTGGCTTCTACTCGTCGATTCCATTCCGTAGATATCCATATTGTAGGGTTTTCGAGACATTTTCGCTAACAGGAAGTCGCCATCTTGGATTCAGGTTCGCCATATTGGATACCAAAAGTGAACCGGATGTAGATTTTAGGCTTCTACTCGTCGAGCCCATTCCGTAGATATCCATATTGTAGGGTTTTCGAGACATTTTCGCTAACTAGAAGTCGCCATCTTGGATTCAGGTTCGCCATATTGGATACCAAAAGTGAACTGGATATAGATTTTTGGGTTCTACTCGTCGAGTCCATTTCGTAGATATCCATATTGTAGGGTTTCCGAGACATTTTCGTTAACCAGAAGTCGCCATCTTGGATTCAGGTTCGCCATATTGGATGCCAAAAGTGAACCGGATGTAGATTTTTGGCTTCTACACGTCGAGCCCATTCCGTAGATATCCATATTGTAGGGTTTTCGAGACATTTTCGCTAACCAGAAGTCGCCATCTTGGATTCAGGTTCGCCATATTGGATACCAAAAGTGAACCGGATGTAGATTTTTGGCTTCTACTCGTCGAGCCTATTTCGTAGATATCCATATTGTAGGGTTTTCGAGACATTTTCGCTAACCAGAAGTCGCCATCTTGGATTCAGGTTCGCCATATTGGATGCCAAAAGTGAACCGGATGTAAATTTTTGGATTCTACTCGTCGAGCCTATTTCGTAGATATCCATATTGTAGGGTTTCCGAGACATTTTCGTTAACCAGAAGTCGCTATCTTGGATCCAGGTTCACCATATTGGATGCCAAAAGTGAACCGCATGTAGTTTTTTGGCTTCTACTCGTCGATTCCATTCCGTAGATATCCATATTGTAGGGTTTTCGAGACATTTTCGCTAACAGGAAGTCGCCATCTTGGATTCAGGTTCGCCATATTGGATACCAAAAGTGAACCGGATGTAGATTTTAGGCTTCTACTCGTCGAGCCCATTCCGTAGATATCCATATTGTAGGGTTTTCGAGACATTTTCGCTAACTAGAAGTCGCCATCTTGGATTCAGGTTCGCCATATTGGATACCAAAAGTGAACCGGATGTAGATTTTAGGCTTCTACTCGTCGAGCCCATTCCGTAGATATCCATATTGTAGGGTTTTCGAGGCATTTTCGCTAACAGGAAGTCGCCATCTTGGATTCAGGTTCGCCATATTGGATACCAAAAGTGAACTGGATATAGATTTTTGGGTTCTACTCGTCGAGTCCATTTCGTAGATATCCATATTGTAGGGTTTCCGAGACATTTTCGTTAACCAGAAGTCGCCATCTTGGATTCAGGTTCGCCATATTGGATGCCAAAAGTGAACCGGATGTATATTTTTGGCTTCTACTCGTCGAGCCCATTCCGTAGATATCCATATTGTAGGGTTTCCGAGACATTTTCGCTAACTAGCCATCTTGGATTCAGGTTCGCCATATTGGATACCAAAAGTGAACCGGATGTAGATTTTAGGCTTCTACTCGTCGATTCCATTCCGTAGATATCCATATTGTAGGGTTTTCGAGACATTTTCGCTAACTAGAAGTCGCCATCTTGGATTCAGGTTCGCCATATTGGATACCAAAAGTGAACCGGATGTAGATTTTAGGCTTCTACTCGTCGAGCCCATTCCGTAGATATCCATATTGTAGGGTTTTCGAGACATTTTCGCTAACTAGAAGTCGCCATCTTGGATTCAGGTTCGCCATATTGGATACCAAAAGTGAACCGGATGTAGATTTTAGGCTTCTACTCGTCGATTCCATTCCGTAGATATCCATATTGTAGGGTTTTCGAGACATTTTCGCTAACCAGAAGTCGCCATCTTGGATTCAGGTTCGCCATATTGGATACCAAAAGTGAACCGGATGTAGATTTTAGGCTTCTACTCGTCGAGCCCATTCCGTAGATATCCATATTGTAGGGTTTTCGAGACATTTTCGCTAACTAGAAGTCGCCATCTTGGATTCAGGTTCGCCATATTGGATACCAAAAGTGAACCGGATGTAGATTTTAGGCTTCTACTCGTCGAGCCCATTCCGTAGATATCCATATTGTAGGGTTTTCGAGGCATTTTCGCTAACAGGAAGTCGCCATCTTGGATTCAGGTTCGCCATATTGGATACCAAAAGTGAACTGGATATAGATTTTTGGGTTCTACTCGTCGAGTCCATTTCGTAGATATCCATATTGTAGGGTTTCCGAGACATTTTCGTTAACCAGAAGTCGCCATCTTGGATTCAGGTTCGCCATATTGGATGCCAAAAGTGAATCGGATGTATATTTTTGGCTTCTACTCGTCGAGCCCATTCCGTAGATATCCATATTGTAGGGTTTTCGAGACATTTTCGCTAACCAGAAGTCGCCATCTTTGATTCATGTTCGCCATATTGGATATCAAAAGTGAACTGGATGTAGATTTTTTGTCTGCTACTCGTCAGACCCGTTCGTTATGTTGTATGATTTCTTGGGTATTTCGACACACCGTAAGTCATAGTAAATTTCACCGGACATCATGTTTTACTCGTCGATCCCGTTCCTCGGATACCCATTTGTAGGATTTCCGAAGCATTTCTGTGCAATGGAATGCGCCATCTTGGATTCCGATCTGTCGGTTTTTGATACCAAAATATGATAAATTTCGTGAATATTTCGGAGTGTTCTGTAGAGAATTTCTGGACCGTTCAAGGGACCAAAGAGATTCTCAAATTTGAGAGGAATTCTGAAACGAACTCTACGAAGGGATTATTCTAAAGGAAATAGTTGAGACCATTTTAAAGAAATCCTGTATAGAGTTCTGAGCAAATACAGACACATTTTGAAGACTTCGATCGCAGAAACAAATTCAAGATCCTGGAAAAATTCTACTGTCTTAGTAATTAACCATTTAACACAGTGCTTTAATTCGACTCAATCGCATTCGGTTTAATGCTTGATATAAATGTATATCGCATATCCAGGAAAATAACCAAAATTCCGGGAAAAACCGGGAAATTGATGGTGCTCTTCAAAACTCGAATAAGGACATCCCGGTCTTGGTACGTAAGCTAAGCAAAAATTGATGAAATATTTTTAAGCATTCTGTCACTCTCCACCAGGCTTAAGCTTTATTCACACTAAAAAAATAAAAATAAATAGAAGAATATGTTCATCAACCAAATCGAATTTTTATTTATTTTTTTAACATGAATTTGTAGTGACTTTTTATCTCAGTGTATTTTGTCTTAAAGTTCGTTTAAGCCCCTACAACTTCTTAGACGTCGTTTTCGTCGAATTAGTCGTTTTCAGGCTATGATTTTTTTTTAGAAAAAAAAAATCAGGATGCTTAATACGCCCTTTTAAAAGCTTAGTGCTGAAAAGTGGTCATATTTTAATGCAAAATGTGATCTTGAGTAGCAACCAACACATATGCAATGTTTCATTCAAATCGGGAAGTGTCGCTCAAGGACATCATTTACCCCCTAACGATAATAGGTAAAGAGGTGGCGTAATTTTCCCTAACTGACTTATTCAGTTTGTAAATAACGTACAAAATTACGATATTCATAGAATACCTAGTGCCTAGGTTACACACTTTTCCACACTCGACTTGTTTAGCGTTTTTCCTTGTATTTGTTTTTGATTTCTTCCGATATCAATACACTGAAAACGAATCTTACTCAGAGAGTGAGTCACCTTTACTTATTCGTATGGAGAAATTTTTTAAAAGCGTAGGTCACTCATGCGCTGAATGACCTACGCTTTTAGAAATTTCTCCATACGAATGGGTAAAAGTGACTCACTCTCTGAGTCAGTTTCGTTTTCAGTGTATCTAATTGAGCATTTAAACGATTAATTTCCCCGTTCGATCTGTCTTCGCCGCCTGTCCACACTGTAGAAAATAGCAACGTTAATTATGATTAACCGACTCGACGGTTTTCAGCGAAGTGCGTGTAGTGACCGCAAACAGAAACGAGAAACTCAAACGATTACTGGTTTCAACTATTGAAAACAAATCTACTGAAGTAGTGTTTACCCTTCACTATACTTTTTATCCCAGTGTACTAGCAGAACGGATATTGTTCGATATGATACGCTTCCGCAGCGCTAGGGTTATTTCCCCGTAATCGGCTTTCTTTTCCAAATTACTAATTATCGAGAGGAAAGAGAGAACGAGAAAGAAAGTGAGATGTACACATATCGTGAGCAGAATACAAAACAAAACATAACGAAAACGCTTCAACGCTTGATATAAACCGAGGATCGAATAAAACTAATAAAGCGGAATCAGTATACCAAAAAGAAACTAAAGTTAAAGATTAAAAACAAAATGACATTCAAGAAAGAAGTGTGAGGAGGTAAATCGAGAGTGAATCGGGAAACAATACAATATCGAATTAGGTGAATGGCGAGCCAAAGTGATGGAAAGGAGGAAAACTGGAATAATTATGATTTTTAAGTGTGCCTTTTAGTTTTTAGTTTTTCATGTGAAGTAGTAAAGTAGCGTAAGTCAACAAGGCAAATGAGAGATGATCGATACACACTAATAGAAGAACCACCCCATGCCAAAAAGAATTCGAGACGAAGAGGAAATTGTTTCATTATTTTTTTTTTAATTTTGATTTCATTTGCATTTTCATTTAAATAAAAAAAAAGAAAGTATGATTCGAAACCAAAAATTAACAATACATTTTCGCACCCACGATTTGTACTTATGCGGTAGCAGCGAATCACCTTGTCATATTTGTCATCCTAGTCGAGGAATTATTTTTATTTTCAGAAGCTCTGTACAATACTGCAGCATCACAAACGCATACACTCACAGCGAACGACAGAGAAGCTCTAATCTAATCAATAATAAACTGCTAGAATTAACCGGAAAACCTTAAGTTTGAAACTCTTCATCTTCCCTCGTCACAAATTAACCAATAGAGAACGAGAATTAACACAAACATACGAAAAATAAAATACATTTGTTACAGAAGCATACACTCACATCCACACAGAGACACAGATATAATCTAAAAGGACAGTTCTATTTAAGCCAATATTACCATTGAAACTAAGGTGAGAGCAAACGCCGGAGGCGGACGCCAAGCATGAATCCAGCTGTTCGGAAACTGTATTGGGTGCTCACACAAAAGAACTAATATTTGTTTGTGCCACTTCCAAGGTTACTGAGAAAAGCCGTGCGCTCTATGCATTAGAAACCGATCATTAACAGAAACAGATAACAAACCAGAGAAACGAAGCGAATGCGAAAGAGGTGAAAGCGAACACTGGAATGCGTGGGAGAAAGCGAGTAGGAAAGTAGAAACAGAAAACGTAAATTATACATACAGACACACACAAACCTATATTTATTCGTATTCGAGAGAAAAACAGAAACCAAGAGGACAAGAGAGATTTAGTGTGTAAGTGAGAAGGGAAAAGAAATAGACAGGAAGTTACGTGCAACCTTGTTGAAGCGAACTACAACCAAAAATAAAAGCGATGATTGCGATGACGATGTGATATTGACGAAATGTGAATGCTGTTGGGTGTTGGTGCTTTTCTTCATCCGAACAATCCTTTTTTGCTCTGATTAGGTCGACTTAGCGTCGTGTTTTGATGACAGAGTGAGGTTATGTTTTTTTTTCAGGAAACAACAGAGAACGTGTAGACTAGAAATCATCCAAATGACAATTGTATAAATATATCTAAATAGGATACTTAATTTGGCATACAAACGTTTGGCATTGTTTTTTTTTTGTAGGATTTCGTCTTTCGGCAACATATTGGGGTGCAATTTCAAAAAACCAAAATTGTCCGCATTACGAAAAGTGGTCAGGTTTTAACCACATATAACTGTCAATAGCGGATGTATTTTAATTCTAAACAAGCCAATCGATTAGAAATTTAGCTACGAATCTGCTAAATTGAACACTAGACTGAGGCAAAATTTAAAATTTCCGCTCCACAGTGCTCAAACGCGTCCAAGTTGGGCCCTGATTAGCCTCCCAAAATTTGAACTCATTTAGTGAAAAACAGACTTGGCACAAACCATTTGAAGTTTATATGGGAATTACTATGGAGAAACCATAATTTCGGTTCATATCCATCTCAAAATTCACCAGTTCACTCTACTATAGAAAATGGTAGCTAAGCTTATTGAAAATTTTCTCAGCTACAACTTTGTTCAAGACCACTTTTCGATCAAATGTAAGGAACAATGATTCAAGTCACTGATGTCTTATGATTATGCTCAATTAACTGTTCAGCAGGCAACATTGGTGCTTATGGCGCGTAGAATAGAGGACAAAAATCATGGCTACTATGTCACACTGCAGAATACAGTGTTGCCAACAATACAGTAGCTTAATCTTGCCATAAGATTATCAATCTCTTAAACAATTAATAACTATTTAATTTGACGTTTGGCTGAAACAAGATTTTCTGCAAAGTTGTAGCTGATAAAAAGTTCCATAAGAATAGCCATAGAATTTGTTAACAGTACAATATGTAAAAAGGCTAGAAGGCAATGAATAAAACGTTTTGTTTTCCCATAGTAATTTCCATATAAACTTCAAATGGTTTGTGCCAAGTCAGTTTTCTTATCAAATGAGTTTAAACTTTCGGAGGCTAATCAGTACCCGATTTGAAACCGTTTGAACACTGTGGAGTGAAAATTTCAAATTTTGCAATTATCACCGATTGTCTGCCAACAGCGCATTCCCTAACAAAGATTTCAAAATCGAATTCGATCCTGTGTCCATGAACGGTGCTTATTCAATCACCGTGTCTGGTGGTGTCCGGTCGTTCGTCAGCAGCAACAGCAGCAGTGCTTTCGACGCGTGGCTTTGAACATTGTACACAACGAAAGGCTGCCCGCAAGCAGCAAGCTGCAGCCAACATGAGCGTCCATTCACCGAAAAAGGAGGAAGAAGCGTCACCGCTACTGATCGGAATCCATCTTCGTGAGTCGCTGTGGGCCATCTATGTCAAGCGCGTCACCCTCGTTCCAAGCAACAGCCTCATCCGTGTTGAACACCCTAATAACTCAGCATTACTCAACCGTCACGACGAAATGGTCCTTTTCAGGAACACCATAGAGAGTTTTTTTTTTTTACATTTTCAAGCTGAACATTGCATTAGGTCCTAAGTAACATTGATCAATTCTCTTCGTTGGCTTTCTCTTTCGTTAATAACTGAAGCACAAAACCGTTTCTTTTTGTGTTTGTTGTAATAGATGCTAGATAAAAGCTTCTTTTTTCGATCAGTGTGCTGAAAATACCTGGGAATGTCATTACATGCCCGTGGGGATACAAAGAGAAAGTTGATGAAGAGAATCTGTCAATGTTACTTAGTACCTAATTCAAAGTTCAGCTTGATTTGTCAAGGTCATCAATCATGTTAAAAACTAACATACCATATGTTTTTAAGGCAACATTGGGGGTGCAATTTCAGAATCCAAAGTCGGTCGCGGCATGAAAGTGGTCTGATTTTGATCCAGAGATAATCGATAGGAAATTTTTCTACGAATCTGCGCAAATCGATAGGAAATTTTTCTACGAATCTGTTTAAATGAACACTTCGATAGTGAGCATGCATAAGGGAGTAATGAATCTTGTGTCCTGCTTGATTCCTTGTTGTTGCCTGCATCCGGATACGTCGGTACTCTTCGCATTTGGTGTACGCCTCGTCCGTTGACAAATGATTTCCACCGCAATTTGCACTTTCAAACAGGGTTCCTTCCATTCATTTTGGCTAAAAAAATGTTTTATAAAACTACGGAATGATAAGACACTATAATAATATTTCGCTTGTGTAAGCAACAAGAAAAGATTGTGGAGTTTGTGTTTGACACATAATACCAGCCAATGTTGCTGCATGAGAGTCGCAATAAGCAATTTTGTCATTTATCTCACCCACTCTTCACTCTTCACTCTTCGCGAAGAGGCGATCAGAAAATCGCTCATTGTAGCTCTGTTTGTTTGCAGGTTTTATGTGTCAAACACAAACTTTAAAATTGTGCAGTGTCTCGCAATCATATCCGTAATTACGAGTCTGGCTCCGTCAACAATTGTTGGAGATGCGGAAGTATTTTCCATCATCCATACCAATGTCCTGGAATGCAGAAGGTGTGTCACAATTGTGGAAGAATGGGCCACATTGCACGTATTTGTCCTTCAATAAAAAATCAGGCTGCGCATCCGAATCTGTTGAAACGCCGCAATGAATTTAAGGAGGAAGCAATCGATACCAAAATTACAGTGATTGAGAAAGAGGAAGACGAAGATATAACCAGTGAGGTACGTGGAGATAACAAAAGTGCTTAAGTGATTTCATTTTTTTATATATAAGTTACGTAACGTATGGTTACTTTCTTGAAAAATATATATATATTTGATTAAATTTAAATAAAAATTAAAAAAAAAAAAAAAAAAAAATTAAGTTTCATATTAACTAGTTTTTTTCGCATCTTAAAAAAAAAATAACAGAAGCATTTAGTTGAAAAGATGCTATAAAAATACAAACATATTTCTATTGATTCTGTTGTTGTTCTGTGATTGCAGGTCAAGTCGGTATGCCCGGCTGTAGTCTTGACGGAACACGACGCTTGCATTGATGCTCGAGTTGCTAACACTCCAGTAAAATTTTTCATAGACTCAGGCGCTCAAGTCAACACCATTACAAGAGTATCATTTGAGCAGATTCTAGCAAATATGGACAGCAGAATCAATATACATGCTTTGCAATATTCAACGGATAAAAGACTAAAGGCATACGCTTCCGATGGCGAAATCAAGGTCATCGCCAATTTTTTGGCCGAATTGTTTATTTCAGAGGATAGGCCGATTATGGTTGAAAAATTTTACGTGGTCGATGAAGCAAGAGCACTGTTAGGATTCAATACCGCAGTTAGATACAGCGTGCTTTCAGTTGGTTTGGAAGTTCCTGTGTATCCTTCGAATGCAAACGCACCCTGGAAGTGTGAACTAAGCATAGCTATGTGTTCGGAATTCCAAAACCCCTCACTGGTGAAAGAGTTTCCTAAATTCAACGTACCTCCAGTTTCCTTGAGTTTTGATAAGAGTATGCCCCCATCGCGCAATGTTTACACACATATTCCAGCGGCATTCAAGGACCTCACGAAACAAAAATTAAACGAACTTCTGTCTGCTGGCATAATAGAAAGAGTTACTACTGATATGGATAGATCGTTTTGTTCGTCCTTGCTTGTTGTTCCTAAAGGAAAGAACGACATTCGATTGGTAATTGATCTTCGAGGGCCTAATCGATGCATTAATCGCACACCGTTCAAGATGCCCACGTTCGAATCAATTCTTTT